AAAAAAAAATTAATCCAACAATCCATTCGACGATGGTTAACCGGCGATGGGCTATGGTTATAGGCTTTGGAAATATTCACTTTCTCCAAGAAGATATTTTCCGCTTTCTTAAATTGGTGTCTTAATTGTGCCAATCTCGTTTTGACTTTGGACGATTGTGTACCATCAATTTCAGCTAGCTCCATTACTTTCTGGAGAGACTTTAGATACTCAGTCGAATGTAGAACAAAACTTGGGTTTATTACTTACAAAAGCAGCTTGAGCTTTTCCAAAATCGCCTAGTGCTGCAAAACATCGCCAAGCTATGGATAAGTTGCCTTGGTCCAAAGCCACTTGCGCTATTTTTTCCACATTGTATATCTAAAGGCATATAAACATAAGTTGCATTGCTAGCAATACAAAGGAAAAGGGGAATACAAATTGATATATTACCTTATTGAAGTCACTCTATGATCACCTTACTGATGGAAAATGAGCATTGCAGAACTCACGAATCAACAGCAGCTCTGCATTGGTCCAAGAAAGCAGCTGTTTTCGCAAGATCTCCGGATTCGATGGTCGACCCATCTACCTGGTCTCTATCCAGCTCGTAAGCAACTCTAGCATTGGCTTCCTGGCAAACCAATAATTTTTAAGTATATTTTGTTTTGTTACTATGTTTTGTTTTTTGTATTTCCAAACTTTTTTCACTTGATTTCTTGCCTACCTGCACTATAACCTCGGTTCTATCAGCATCCCTTAACACCGTCTCCGCCTCCCCTTTTATTGTTACCAAAGTAACTTGATCTGGTACTGACGCATTATACCTAGAATAAACTTGTTAGAGGATTTTTCTAGCTAGCTTCGTACGTACGTACCACACATAGAGGATGTTCCCAGATTGCGCGACTATTATATCACTGGAAGGAACCCACTGGACGTAGGTGCAGAAGTCTAGAAGAGTCTTTTGCTGCGTCCCGTCCAAAAGAGTTAGTCGTAAACGTTTATCGCGAAAAAGCAGCTTTGTAGCGTTGTAGCTCAGCTAAATAGAAAAAATCGAGAATTATTCAATTACAGATTTGTGTAAGTACGCTCATTCTAAGCCACAGCTTTTATGTGGCAAAGCAAAGGAACGCTTTCCTATGTTATTTTCTGTAAATAGAAGGTGCAATTTACCTCAAGCCAGTCAATGGCCGTTGTGTGGTTTACAACGATCTCTACTTCATCGTTCAGGAGGTTTTCTAGAATGGAGATTGTAAGCTATTGCATTCCGCTTTGATGAAATCGTCCACGTAAATTGTTTTGTTCATTAATATTATTTCAGAATAGATAAGGACGAGCAGATATTGAAACTAGGAAACACGCTCGTTTCGCAGACCGAATACCTAATGGGTATTCAGGGAGCGAATTTCGAAGAACAATGTATGTTGACAACTGCTCGAAAAGCCTTTTTTCTTTTTCTAGTTTATGTTGTTAGAATAGAGAGGGCAGTTAAATCCTTAAACTATTTTTTCAAATGTAGTTAACTTACTAATTGAAAGTGAAGTCGGATCCGTAAGATAAGCAATTTTCTTCGTAAAATGTGAACACGGC